CCCTAGCGACCCTCGTGACGCACCTGCTGCCCAACGCGCTTCCCTCGTGCGGTCTGCAACTCGACCCTAGGCCCCAGCCCGTCGCCCGTCGCCCATCGCCCCTAGGCCCACGGCCATCGCCCATAGCCCCGGCTCGTCGCCCGTCGCCCCTAGGCCCGTGCCCGTTGCCCCTAGCCCCGGCCCGTCTCCCACGCCCCTAGGCTCCGGCCCGTCGCCCGTCGCCCCGAGCCCGTCGCCCCTAGGCCCCGGCCCCGGCCCATCGCCCGTCGCCCGTCGCCCTTAGGCCTTGGCTAGTCGCTAGTCGCCCCCTAGGCCCCGGCCCGTCGCCCCTAGCCCTGGCCCGTGCCCGTCGCCGCTAGGCCCCGGCACAACGCCCGTCACCCCTAGGCTCGTCGCCCCTAGGTCCCGACTCGTCGCCCGTCGCCCCGCACCTGTCGTCCGTAGGCCCCGGCCCCGTCGCCGGTCGCCCCTAGGCCCTGGACCGACCCCCGTCGCCCCTAGGCCCGTCGCCCGTCGCCCCCTAGGCCCCGGCCCGTTGCCCGTAGCCCCGACCCGTCGCCCCTAGGCCCCGGCCCGACGTCCGTCGCCCGTCGACCGCAGGCCCCGCACGCCGCCGTTTGCGGCCTGCCCCTCGCCCCTGCAGCCCGCGAGCCGCCCTTGGTGGCCCCCTAGCTGCCCCTGCTGCCCTGCTAGCCGCCCCTTGCAGCCCTCTCTCAGCCCCTGCAGCCCCGCGTGCCGCCCCTTGCGACCCGCCCGCCACCCCTAGGCCCTCGAGCCGCCTCTCTTGCAGCCTGCTTGCCGCCCCTCTCAGTTGTCTGCCCTGTTCCCTGCGCTGCTTAGCTTCTGCCTGCCCTGCTTGCTGCGCCGCTATGGCTTCTGTCCGCGTTCTTGCTTTCGATCATGAGGGCTGCCCGATTCAGTTTAACACGAGGCTTGACGACCTGCTGCTGTACCTACTGAGTGACTCTAGGGACGGCATTTCGTTGTTTGACCACATGTCTGGTGCTGCTCCCGCCCCACCCGCCACAGCTGATAGTGCGACTCGCTCACAGTGGCTTACTCGTGACGCTGCTGCTCGCTTAGTCATTCGCAACCACCTGCCGTTAGCCAAATGCGCTCACTTCGGACAGCATAAGATAGCACAGGCACTGTACGACGCTGTAGTCGCCCGTTACTCCTCGCCTGCCACTACTGCTTTAGGCCGTCTTCTACTGCCCTACCTGTTTCCCGAGCTGTCTGCCTTTGCCATTGTAGTGGACCTGGTTTCCCACCTTTGTACTAGCGACGCTCGCTACTGAGCTGCCGTCCCAGTATAGTTCCTTGCCACGAACCAGCCCCCGATGTTCATCACTCTCTACTTTATAGTCACCCGCCTCCCAGACTCTCTTCACTCTATCAGGGACCACTTTCTTGCCCTTGACCCCACAGTCCTCACTGTTGACCTACTCGAGCAGCACCTCCTTGCAGCTCAGACTAGTGTAGTCGCTGTAGGTGCTGCTCGTGGCACTCCACGCACGCCCTTCTTTGAGAGGTGCTCCTCCTCCCCCCTTGCCCCCTCCTACGCCTCTACTACTGCTGTTGACGTCCTTGGTGCTCAGGACGTCGGGCCTGCTTCTGCTATTGGGAAGTGCCGCAGCAGCAAGGGCAAGGGTGGCAAGGGTGGTGGCGGTGGCAGCGGGGGTGGTGGGGGGGGCAGCAGTGGAGGTGGTGGAGGCAGTGGAGGTGGTGGCGGTAGTGGGAGTGGTGGGGGGAGTGGGGGCTTTGGTGGAGGCAGTGGTGGCAGCGGTGGGAGCGGCGGTAGTGGCAGCAGTGGGAGTGGTAGCGGTCGGACTGGAGCTACTCAGCGTGGAGGTTCTAGCGGTGGCCAAAGGCAGCACCAGCAGCGTCGAAGCAAGACCCCGTTGCCCTAGTAGCTTCGTGAGTGGTTTTCTCAGCGTGGGGCGTCTGGGGGTAGTGGTAGCTGCCCGTATGTCATTCGCACCAGCGACCGTGCTGGTCTCACATGCGGGAAGCCTCACACTCAGCACCGCTGTTTCTCCCGTGTCGATGATGCTTGGCGTGCAAAGTTTGGTCACTAGGCTGAGCGCCCCCGCTGGGCAGAGCTGCTTAGGTCTGAAGTTGCTATCTTTGACCTAGACTATGATGCTATCCTTGCTACTATGTATGCTTTGTCTGTTAGTGCTGAGTGTGACTGTTACCTAAGTGTGCCGCCTGAACCAGGTATAGAGGCTGCTGCTCTAGGTGCTGGTGAGTCTTCTCTCCCTGGTACTGCGCCTGCTGAGGCCTTGCACACCTTTACATCTTCACACCTTGCTGAGGCCAGGGTCAAGTCTGTACACACTGGCTACTGAGCCTCCTCAGGTAGCTGCGTCTGCGAAGGTGTCCGCGTCAGGTCCGGTAGCACCCCCTTGCTCGTGTCGCCTTCTGTCGCACCAGACTCTCCTGTGGCACCATTGCCTTGCTGACCCCTCCCTGCCACGCCTTCGTGGCATGCACTCCCGCCTCCTATTCTCAGGTCTTCTAAGTTCTCTACCTCCCCTCCTGCCCTCGCCTGCCCCGCCCTGCCTTCCTTGCATCGAGGGGCGGCAGCGCACCGCTCCTCACTCCTCCTCGTTTCTCCCAACGACTGCTCCCATGCGGACTCTCCACATGGACGTGTGGGGCCCAGCCCTCGTCAGTGGACAGGGCCGCGAGCGCTACTTTCTGCTGGTTGTTGATGACTACACGCACTACACTACAGTCTTCCCCTTGCGCAGCAAGGGTCACGTCGTTGATGTCTTGATCCCTTGGATCCTCGCAGTCCGTCTCCAGCTCCGCGAGCGGTTCTGTCAGGACCTTCCAGTCATGCGTCTACACTCTGACAGAGGTGGTGAGTTCTCCACCAACCTCTTGCGGGACTTTTGTCGCGGGGAGGGCATTCTCGAGTCGTTCACGCTTTTGGACTCCCCTCAGCAAAATGGGATTGTTGAGCACCGCTTTGGCTTAGTCATGGAGGTTGCTCATACCACCATGATCCATGCGGCTGCTCCCCATTTTCTATGGGCGTTTGCGGTCCGGTACGATGCGCATCAGCTCAACCTCTGGCCTCATGTCTCCTTGCCGAAGACCTCGCTGACACTACGTTGGACGGGGAAGGTTGGCGATACGCCGGTGTTCCGGGTCTGGGGCTCTCGTGCCTTTGTTCGTGATACGGCCGCGGACAAGCTCTCTGCATGAGCTATTCCCTGCATCTTCCTTGGCTTCCCCCCTGACGTGTATAGCTGGCAGTTTTACCACCCCACCTCTCGCCGTGTCTTCCCTTCTCTTGACGTCACGTTTGACAAGTCGGTTCTCTTTTACCGTCTTTTCCCCTACCGCTCTGCCCCTCCCCCACCCCCGCCGTTCTTCCTTGCTCTAGGTCCTCCTCTGGTAGACCCCCTCCTCCCCCAGGGTCATGCTCCCTCAGGTGTGTCTCAGGAAGACCCTCTCCCTGGTACTGTACCTGTTGAGGTAGCTGTCATCTCTGGTGCTGCTCGAGGTGCTGCGTCTGGGAGTGCTGCGTCTGGGGGTGCGGAGATTGTTGGGTGCAAATTCACATTGCACGACATCCTGCCGTCTGTTTGTACGAGTATGCGAGTGCGAATGCATTTGGGTGTGAACGGAATGTTCGTGTGTTTGTTTGTTTTTCGCAATTTTCACTTGATGCATTTGTAGGTACTCGCGCAATGTGCGCTTCGGCACAACATTGTACGCGCTATGAACAGTGCAAGCAGAAAGAACGAGCTCGCAAAGGAACCCAAGATGGAAGCTTTGCAGTTCGGTTTAATTGATTGCGCAGATTCAGTTCTATCCAACTCGAACTTGTACTGTTTCGTTTGGTTGACTGTAGTGTAGCAGGGCAGGCACTATAGGGGTATAATTTAGGTGAAGGTTGGATGTTGTTTGTCTGTATCTGCATGCTACAGGGCCATGGGAAACCAGCGGAACCAGCATTTGGCTGGTTGGGCAAAGACAAAACAGGTTCTGTTTTTAGGACCTGAACCTGGTTGTTGTTTTCCCAGGTTGGAAAAACAGAACCAGAGGTTGTTTAACAACCTACCACCTGCTGTTTTGTCCAGCCAGGTTGGTTCTGTTGCTTGGAATTATTTGGGATCATCCTTGGTTGTTCCCAGGTTGATTCCCAAGGTCCTTGCTAGCTAGAACTATATATTCCTTCTCTATTTGTACCTGAAAATATTCAAATTGATTCAAGCGAATTCCTTCCTTGCTGGAATTTCGTTTCTACGCGGTGCAACAGTGGAATGCTACTGAGTCAACGCTAGTACGCTAGCACTACGACGCTAGGCAAACGTTGTCCGAGCCGTAACTCTGCAATGGCAGAACTTTTCGTGAGGCAAGTTGGCTCTTTTGAAAGCTCTTAGGGTGAGCTTCGATATAGCGAGTTCTCAGCTTAATCCGATCGACGGTCTGCACAGCACGTTGCGCGACATTCAAGGTACTCTTGCTATTTTGACTAAGTCCCTCTTGATCCCTCTCTACAAACTCGGACCCGAGGATAGGGGCTGGTCTTGTACCAAGCACCCAGAGACCCTTGGAGGTGACCCCGAGGAGAGGTTTTAAGTTGGATAACGTCTTAATAGCCTGAGTTTATTAGGCCCTTACACCAACAAGCTGGTATCAGAGCTGCGTTATAGTGATCCTCGTTATAGGTAGCTATGGCGGGAAATACCTTGGCGGGAGCTGGTGAATCTTCAGCCCAAGATCGTAGCGGCAGCCAGGATTCTGGTGTTTCGGCGCCAAGGGGAGCGCGAACAAACCAGGGCTCGCTGATCAAGGAGGTGCTGAAAAACTTCACCGTCGAGAAGTTCAATGGTGAGGGCTATGAGGATTGGGCATGGAAAATGCAACTTTTCTTCCGTCAGATTGGTTTGTTGAAACTAATGATTGGGGAGGAGCCTAGACCGAGTGACCCCGCGCTGCAGGAAGATTGGGACAAGCGCGCCTCGGCTGGCTACTACTTGATGTCGCAGAGTTTGGAGCTGAATCAGCGTCACCACGTCATGCACCTGCTGCCGGAGGTTGATTGCGGTCCGAAGGCGTGGACCGTGTTGAAGGAGCTGCACGCCCCGACCTCCGTTGTCGCAACGTTGATGTTGGAGAGGGAGCTGTCCGCGTTGCGCTTGAGCAAGGGAGAGCCGGTGCAACCTGTTTTGGACAAAATGCACGACCTCTACGTGAAGTTGGCGACCGCGGGAAAAACCTACCCGGAGCAGACCAAGTGCCTGAAGATGCTATCGCTGCTGCCGGAATCGTGGCTTCAATTCACGAGCGGATTGAGCCTGCCGCAGAACCAGAGCTTGTGGACCCTGGAATGGGTGCGGACGAAGATTCTGGAGGAGGACTTCCGTCGCCGCCAACTGAGGGGTGGAGACGACGGCAGCAGTGGCTACGGGATGCAAGGGAGCCGACGTGGCAGAGGACGTGGCTTCGGTGGTGCTGGACGCGGTGCAAAGAAGGACGACGACTCCAACGACCAACAAGGAGGTACCGGTTGGGGTCGCGGTGCGAAATCTGGACGTGGGGGCAAGTCGGGTGCTGGTGGCAAAATGAAAGGGAGTTGCTGGTATTGTGAGAAAGAGGGGCACCCCTGGTTTTTGTGCTATAAGAAACCTGATGGATGGACCCCCCAGAATCGTCACCAGGATGGCGGCGCGCGGAGGAACCAGAAAAACGGCGCGAACATGGTCGCCGATTCGTCCGACAACAACCCGAAGAGCAACGGCGGTGCAGAGAAGAAGAAGGAGCGCACCGCAGGCCAGTTCTTCCATATTGGAGAACAAGGGGAGCAAGGAGACGCCTCTGCAAAGGTTGGAGCAGAGCTGCATCCCCTAGGAGTATTGGGTGTTGGACACGGGCGCTGCTTGGACGATGATGCCGCGCAAGGAGCTGCTTGATGACGTACGAGCTGCACCAATCAATGAGGTGTGCTCTGCCTCTAGACACGCGCTGAAGGTGGCTGGTGCAGGACGAGCTGCATTCAAGGGAGCGGATGGCAAGCCGGTGGTGCTGCATGATGTCCTCCTCATTCCTGATCTCAAGGCCAACCTCATCTCCCTCCGTAAGCTTGCCAAGGCTGGGGTGAGCACTAGCACGGATGGGGCACGCACGTACAAGGGGCAGCTGGGAAATCGGGTGCTTTGGGATCTGCACGAGAGCAAGGATGTGTACAGATCCATGTGGCAGCTGCCGGCGTTGGCGTGGCACGGTGGGGGGCAGGCAGGAGAGGGGTCTGCATCCCAGGGGAGTGCAACGCCGTTGGAGGGGTTGGTGTGAAGGTGTCGGCCAGATCTGGGGAGACAGATTGGGCAACGGCACACCGACGCTTGGGGCATGTGGCAATGCCCTTATTGAAGCAGCTAGAGAAGGATGGAGCAGTCAAGGGTTTGAAGCTGAACGGACAGCCACCCGATGACAACTGTGAAATCTGTTTGCTCTCAAAACTCACTCGTTTCCCCTTTCATAGCGTGACTGGCAGGAGCAAGAAGCCTTTGGAGCTGGTTCACATGGACCTGGTGGGGCCGCTGCCGGTGCAAGGGCACAAGGGGGAGCGGTATTTCTTAACCATTGTGGATGATTGGAGCACACTCATGTGGGCGTATCCGCTGAAGCAAAAGGACCACGCCGCCTCTACGATAAAGGAAGATTGGCTGCCATTTGTTGAGAAGCAAGCGGAGTGTGTAGTGAAGCGGATTAGGACAGACCGGGGTGGTGAGTTCCTTGGAGCTGAAACGACGGCCTGGCTCAAGAAGCAGGGCATTCAGAGGGAGCTGACCACGGCTTACTCTCCGCAGTCCAACGGTGTAGCAGAACGGGCGAACCGGACCATTCTGGAGACAGCTAGGGCGCTGCTCATAGAATCAGGGGTGAACAACTCTATGTGGCCCCATGCTGTCTGGCACGCTACCGTGGCTAGGAACAGGATGCTCACTAAGGTTGGTAATGAATCGTGGGTGCCGCTGGAGAGGTGGCTTGGGAGGAAGCCGCAGGTAGACATGCTGAGGGTGTTTGGTTGCATGGCAGTCGCCAAAGTCCCCAAGAAGTATCGAAGTAAGTTGGGGGCGAGTGCAATCTGGTGTGTGCATTTGGGGCTGGCTGCTGAGAGCAAGGGATGGCTGCTGTGGGAACCATCCAAGGGTGTGTTGTTTGACAGCAGGGATGTGAAGTTTGTTGAGGGCATGATGTATGGGGGCTGGAAGAAACAGCCGGAGACTAAGGTGTCCCAGCAGATGGAGCAGATCACCACGCAGCTGGACCTGACTCCTAGTGTGTGGGAGGAGGGAGAGGAGGCAGCTGCAGAGGGTGGTGATGGAGAGAAGGTACAGGAGGCACCTGCTAGTGGAGGAGATGATGTGGAGACTAGTGGTAGCACCAAGGAAGCTGCTGGATCTGAGGGAGGAGAACAGCAGCAGGGAAAAACTAACGTTCCTACACTACCATCAAGGAGAAAGCCGAAGGGTTTTGTTATGAGGGGATGGGAGACACCCGTCTCGAGGCCAAGACGTACCCGTATGGCCACTATGAAGCTGACTGCAGGAGCTGATGTAGCAGAGCAGCAGCTTGGGAATGAGGAGGCATTGCTGATTCTACCGCATGGCTATGACCCGGATGAGGAAGATGAACCTGCCTACTGTTTTCTTGCCTCTGCACCAGAGGAACCAGCAAGCATGGAGGAGGCATTAGCTGGACCAGATAGGGAGAAGTGGCTGGCTTCTAGGGATGCTGAGTACCAAAGCCTGTTAGAGAATGGGACATGGGATCTGGTGGTGCTGCCTGAGGGGAAGAAAGCCGTACAGTGCAAGTGGGTGCTAAGGATCAAGACCGATGACAAGGGACATGTCACCATCTACAAGAGTAGGCTGGTGGCTAAGGGGTTTATGCAGAAGGAGAAGCAGGACTTCAATGAGATCTTTGCTCCCACTGCCAAACCCCCTACCCTCCGTGTCTTGTTGGCAGATGCAGCCGTTAGTGGGAAATTCATCATTCAGATGGATATATCAACGGCATTCCTCAATGGGATTTTAGAGGAGGATGTGTACATGACGCAGCCGCCTGGGTATGAGGATGGTACGGGCAGGGTGTGCAAGCTGAAAAAGTCCATCTACGGCTTGAAGCAGGCGCCACGCTGCTGGTACCAGAAGTTGGCAGCTGTTTTAGAAGAGATGGGATTCAGGACCAGCAGCTGTGATGAGAGCCTCTTTCTCAAGGGGGAGGGGGAGAAGCTGGTGATGTTTCTGGTCTACGTGGACGACATTCTTCTCTTCAGCAGCAGCATGAAGGAGATCCAGAACGTGCAGCAGCAGCTGATGAAAAACTTCAAGTGCAAGACCCTTGGGGAGGTAAAGTACTACCTCAGGATGCACGTGGAGAGGGATCTGGATCACAGGTGGTTGAAGCTGCACCAGGAGAAGTTCATCAAGGATCTGGGGGAGAAGTATGGGATTGAGAATGAGCGCAAGGTTGCAACTCCCCTGCCAGCAGAATTCAAGCTTGTGAAGGCAGCAGAGGATGAAGGGGTTGAAGCCGAGGAGCAGCAGCAATTTCAGTCCTTGGTGGGCAGCCTCTTGTATGCAGCAGTTCACACGAGGCCCGACATCTCTTTCTCGATTGGGCAGCTGGCTAGGGTGGTGCAGAATCCATCAGAGGAGCAGGTGGATGCAGCTGAGCGTGTGGTGAAGTATCTGAACTCTCACCCAAGCATTGGAGTTCAATACTCCGCATCTGCACAGGTGAAGCAGAAAGGGGTTGAGGTGCTGAAAGAGAAGGGGGAGCGGCTTGGAGAAGGCAATATGTTTCTCACTTGCTTTACCGATGCTACGTGGGCTTCTGAGAAGGACGATTCCTCATCCGTGGGAGGATACATCTGCGTAGTTGGGGGAGGACCTGTTAGTTGGAGGTCCAAGAAGCAGACGGAGATGGCACTATCCTCTGTTGAATCAGAGTACACGGCAATGTTCCATGGGGTGAAGGAGGTGATTTGGCTGAGGAGGCTATTAGAAGAGATTGGCCAGGAGTAGAAGGTTGCTACGCCGCTGTTTTGTGATAGCAAGGGGGCTCTTGGGATGGCCAGGAACGCTGTGCTTCATGGGCTGAACAAGCACATGCGTATCAAGTGGCATTGGCTACGTAAGGAGGTGAAGAGGGGGACCGTGAATCCAATCTATATCAAGACTCACCAGCAGCCAGCAGACTTCCTCACCAAGAGGCTTGCAGATGAGCCTCATTGGCGTTGTGTGCGCATGAGTCGAATGAGCATGAACTAGCATGGAATGATGTGGAATGCAGCCGGCAGGCTGAGGGGGAGTGTGTTGGGTGCAAATTCACATTGCACGACATCGTGCCGTCTGTTTGTACGAGTATGCGTGTGCGAATGCATTTGGGTGTGAACTGAATGTTCATGTGTTTGTTTGTTTTTTGCAATTTTCGCTTGACGCATTTGCAGGTACTCGCGCAATGTGCGCTTCGGCACAACATTGTACGCGCTATTAAGAGTGCAAGCAGAAAGATCGAGCTCACAAAGGAACCCAAGATGGAAGCTTTGCAGTTCAGTTTAATTGATTGCGCAGATTCAGTTCTATCCAACTCGAACTTGTACTGTTTTGTTTGGTTGACTATAGTGTAGCAAGGCAGGCACTATAGGGGTATAATTTAGGTGAAGGTTGGATGTTGTTTGTTTGTATCTGCATGCTACAGGGCCAGGGGAAACCAGCGGAACCAGCATTTGGCTGGTTGGGCAAAGACAAAACAGATTCTGTTTTTAGGACCTGAACCTGGTTGTTGTTTTCCCAGGTTGGAAAAACAGAACCAGAGGTTGTTTAACAACCTACCACCTGCTGTTTTGTCCAGCCAGGTTGGTTCTGTTGCTTGGAATTATTTGGAATTTTTGTGAGGCAAGTTGGCTCTTTTGAAAGCTCTTAGGGTGAGCTTCGATATAGCGAGTTCTCAGCTTAATCCGATCGACGGTTTGCACGGCACACTGCGCGACATTCAAGGTACTCTTGCTGTTTTGACTAAGTCCCTCTTGATCCCTCTCTCTACAAACTCGGACCCGAGGATAGGGGCTGGTCTTGTACCAAGCACCCAGGGACCCTTGGAGGTGACCCTGAGGAGAGGTTTTAAGTTGGATAACGTCTTAATAGCCTGAGTTTATTAGGCCCTTACACCAACAGAGCCTGGGGGTGCGGAGCATGGGGGTGCTGAGTCTGAGGGTGCCGGGTCTAGGGGTGCTGAGCCTAGGGATGCTGAGCCTGAGGGAGTTGAGCCTGGGGGTGCTGAGTCTGGGGGTGCTGAGCCTCGGGGACGTGCTTCTTCTTGAGGTGGTATGGGTGCTTCGCCACGACTGTCTCCCCGGCCGGAGCCTCTCTCCCCGTAGCAGCTGCTCGAGTGGTTTATTCAGCGCACACGCCTTTGGAGTGGAGCTGCTGGAGCTGGAGGTGCTGGTGGTACCGGTGGTGCTGCGGCTGCTAGTCCTGGATGTGCTCGTACCAGGGGTACTGGAGTTCCCGGGACTAGTCATGTTGGGGGCGCTGGAGCTGGAGACTCTACAGAGCCTGGAGCTGCTGGGGCTGGAGGAGCTGGAGCTGGAGCTTGAGGCGGTGGTGGAGCTGGAGCTGTTGGCACTGGAGCTGGAGATACTGGCGCGGGAGGCGCTGGACTTGGAGGAGCTGGAACTCGACCCTAGAGCTGGAGGTACTGGAGCTGGGGGTGTTGTGTTTGGTGGTACTGGTGCTGAAGGCACGGTGCGGCCGCGACCGTACTTCGTTCCCCTGCTTCAGCAAGTTCTTGGTGTCCCGTCTTCTACTGGCCTTACTCCTCCCTTACTATGTCCACCGCCTGACCAGTCGCAGCCGCCATTACAACCAGCCTCCCCGCTGCCTGTTTCCTACTCCTTACACTTAGCAGACCGGCGGTCTTAAAGAGCATCGTGAGCCTGCGTCTCATCATGCCTCCCCTGTTCGCACTAGTCCTCGCGTTCCTCGTCCGCGTCCTCCTCCTGTCCTTGGCACATAAGCTATGGCACTTCGTCCTACCTCTGTTCCACTTCGTGTTCCTCTGCCGCCTCCTCCTGAGTCCTCTCTTCCTACCGTGATCCTGAGTCTTGCCGCGCTCATGCTGCCACTCCCATTGTCTCTCGTCTCCTCTCCACTGTTGTCACTGACCCTTCTTTTGAGTCCACTACTGCGTCTACCCTTGTTGCTGAGCTGGTTGACTTTGCTACTGCCTGTCGTCTAGACTACGCCACTGCTCTTGTTGCTGATTCTGAGTCTGCCAGTCTTCAGTCAGCGACAGGGGGTCGACTACTTCCAGACCTTCTCCCCCACCCCAAAGATGACCACTCTTTGGGTGATGCTGCATGTTGCTGCTCAGCGTGACTACGAGTTGCACTCTCTGGACTTCAGCACAGCTTTCTTGCAGGGCAGCCTGCACGAGGAGATCTGGCTGCGCCGCCCATCTCGCTTCACTGGGTCGTTTCCTGCAAGTACCCAGTGGAGCCTCCGGTGGCCACACTACGGTCTCCGCCAGGTGCCTCGCGAGTGGCACGACACATTGAGGACTACACTTGCGGCTCTAGTGGTTTACTCCTTCTACTGCCGACCCACCGCTGTTTCTACGCACCGACACAGTCGTTGCCGCCGTTCTATGTACTCGTGTACGTCGACGACCTCGTCTTTGCCACTGCTGACAGTGAGGCACTGACCCTTGTGAAATCAGAGATGCAGAAGAGATATACCTGCACTGACCTGGGTGACCTGCGCAGCTATCTTGACTTGCAGATAATCCAGGACAGAGCACGGCGCACCATCACACTGACTCAGTCACACATGGTGCAACAGCGCTTCGGCTTCCAGCTCTCCTTGCCACTGCCCACTCCTCTGTCTAATGGCCACTCGATCTCAGCTCCACCTTCGGACGAGTCCGTAGAGCCGAGTGGTCCATACCCAGAGTTTGTGGGTTGCCTCATGTACCTAATGACGTACACACGACCTGACCTCGCGTACCCTCTCAACCTTCTGACTCGCTATGTGGCTCCTCATAGGCACTAAAAGGTGCACTGGGTTGCTGCGAAGAGGGTACTGCGTTACTTATGTAGTACGTTGGGCATGGGGCTCGTGCTTGGAGGACGGAGACCAGTTGTCCTCACTGGTCACGCAGACGCTTTTTGAGTTGACGACTCAGCTACGCAGTGGTCGTCACAGGGTTACACCTTCAGCTTTGGTTCCGGCTCAGTTTCTTGGCGGTCTACCCGCTCGATTTTGGTTCTCAGCTCTAGTTGTGAAGCCGAGATCCACGCAGGGGCCATGGCTGCACAGGAGCTACGCTGGCTCACCTACCTGCTGACTGACTTGGGAGAGTAGCCTCGTTCACCTCCAGTTCTGTACGTAGACAACAAGGCCATGATTGCCTTGTGTCAATAGCATAGACTGGAGCACAGAACGAAGCACATCACTTTGTGATACTTCTTTGCTCGTGAGTTGCAGCAGCGTGGCCAGCTTCGTCTTGCGTACGTGGCCACTAGGGCCAACACTGCTGGTATATTCACCAAGGCTCTTCCGCTTGGTGATCATCAGCGCTTCTCTACTGTGTTAGGCCTTGTGCCTACTTTTCCTCACTTGCTCACTTCGTGACTTTGCTTGTACTGTGATCTATATATAAACCTGCATGCTTACACATGCTAGGGTATGATCACTGTATTGTTTGTTCTCTTTTATATAGCTCCGCATGTGAACTGGCGTTGTGGCCCTTTGCTAGTGCTCGAACCATGTGGTGACTTTGTGATCCACCCTGAGCTTGCTTTGCTTTGCTTGACTGGTCTTGTGACCACTTGTTCTCCCCCACTTTGCCTATGGGGGTGTGTCAGAATGTTATAGTGCTTACATTTGTGTAGGCTCTAGTGGGGTAGCCCATATGGGGTACAACCCACTTAGGGTTAGTGTCAGAACATTATAGCTTTTACATTTGTGTAGGCTATAGTGGGGTAGCCCATAAAGGGTACAACCCAATTAGGGTTAGTACTTGTACCCAACTCTCTGCTAGTTCATTCATTCTTGTTCATTACTTTGACATAGAATAAGAGCAGGTTCCTTGGCTCCTAGGCCCGTCGACCCTAGCCTACGCACCCGGCCCGTCGACCCTAGCCTACGCATGCCCGGCCCATCGCCTCTAGCCTACGCGGCCCGTCGACCCCTAGCCCACGGCCCGTCGACCCCTAGCCCAGCGCCCGGCTCCGTCCCTAGCCCGCGCCCGGCCCCGTCAGCCCCTAGCCCCGCGCCCGGCCCCGTTTCTAGCCTGCGCCCGGCCCCATCGGCCCCTAGCCCCGCGCTCAGCCCCGTCCTTAGCCCAGCGCCCGGCCCCGTCCCTCGCCCGCGCCCGGCCCCGTCGGCCCCTCGCCCCGCTCCTGGCCCCGTCCCTAGCCCGCGCCCGGCCCTCACGTCGGCGCCTAGCCTCGCTCCCGGCCCCGCCCCTAGCCCGCGCCCCCCCCCCTCCCTCTCCCCCCCCCCCCACGACGACCCCTAGCCCGCACCTGGCCCCGTGACCATGCTGGTCAGACTTGCGGGCCGCTCCACACTTAGCACCGCTGCTTCTCCCGCCTCGACGAAGCTTGGCGTGCTGAGTTTGGTGACAACGTCGAGCTCCCTCGCTGGGCAGATCTGCTAAAGTCTAGGATTGCTATCTTTGACCAAGACTTTGATGCTATTCTTTCTGCTATGTATGCTTTGTCTGTTAGTGCTGAGGGTAACTGTTACCAGTGTGTGCCGCCTGACCCTGGTATAGCCGCTGTTGTTCTAGGTGCTGGTGAGTCTGGTACTCTCCCTGGTACTGCGCCTGCTGAGGCCTTGCACACTTTCACGCAGGACTCTGGCGCCTCGCGCTGTTTCTTTCGTCACAGCACCACCCTCACTCCTCTCCCTGCACTTGTCCTGGTCAGACTGGCTGACCCCTCCGGGGGCCCGGTCGTGGCCCGTTCCTCCACTGTCCTCTCGTGTCCGGTGGTTCCGTCCGGCTCACTGTCAGGTCT